TCACCCCCCACCCATAGTGATCTCTCCCTCTCTATTCAATTTGTCAAATATTTATTAAATGCCTACTTTATACAAAGCATTGTGCTAAGTCACAGGGGAGGCACAAAGTTTAGAAAGGCTCACTATACTATTGCCCTCATGCCTTCATGAGGCTTACAACCTGCCAGGGAAACAAGATGCAATACAGGTAGTATAACATATAATATGCTATGTTACATGCAGACAACTCCATGTAAGGTACATTGGAGGTTAAAAAATAGTGTCATAGGAGATATGAGGAGAAGATTGTTACCAGTTGGGCTAGCTCCAACTGGCTTTCTGGAGGAAGGGACCTTTTAATCATGGGTCTCCAAAGGAAGAAGGGCAGGCAATGACTTGGCCCTAAAGGTCATGCGATCAACTGATTGGAAGATGGAAAGATGAGTTACAGCTGAGCCTTCCTGAAAGCAGTTTTGTAGCTTATACTCTACACCAATAATGTCAAACTCAAATAGGAATAGGGGCCATGAAACCACACATAAGGATCCTTGCAGATGCCTATTAACTTAGAAAACCACACATTAGGGGCAGCTAGGTGGCGCAGTGGATAGAGCACTGGCTGTGGAACCAGGAGAACCTGAGCTCAAATCCAGCCTCAGACACTTGATACTTACTAGCTGTGTGACCCTGGGCAAGTCACTTAACCCCAACTGCCTAAGGAGGAAAAAAAAAAAAAAAGAAAATCACACATTAACATTATTTATGTTTTATTGTGCAGCTAGGTGGTGCAATGGCTAGAGCACAGGGCTTGGAATCAGGAAGACTCATTTTCCTGAATTCAAATCTAGCCTCAGACACTCACTAGCTATGTGATTCTAGACAACTCACTTAACCCTGTTTGCCTCAGTTTCCTCATCTGTAAAATGGGCTAAAGGAAGAAATGGAAAACCAGTACTTTGACAAGAAAACCCCAATTGGGGCAGCTAGGTGGTGCAGTGAATAGAGCTCTGGCCTTGGAGTCAGGAGGACCTGAGTTCAAATCCAGCCTCAGACACTTGACACTTACTAGCTATGTGACCTTGGGCAAGTCATTTGACCACTATTGCCTCACCAAAAGGAAAAAAGAAAAGAAAAGAGAAGTCAAATGGGGTCACAAAGAAACAGACACAATTAAAAATGACTGAACATCATGTTTTATTACATTTTTATTTATCTTGTTAACATATTCCCAATTATATTGGTTCTGGCTACACTCAGGAGTTGACTACATTTGACACCTCTGTCCTACACAACATTTTTCAGACATAGAAGCCATCCCACGCATACATACTCTGCCCCCTCTCACACTGAACAAGCTTTTGATCTTACCCCTTCTGAACCAAGCATTGACCCCTCAGGGCAGGCCTAATCTAACCCCCATTCCAACAACTGCTGAAAAGTTTCATAAAGGAAAATCATACCACTACCAGCACCACTACCCAGCACACCCACCAGAAAAAAATATATGTATGTATACATGTATGTTTATATATGTATGTATATGTGTGTCATATTTGTACATATATGTATACTATATATGCATGTGTGTGGATAGATAGATATAGATATAGATTAGATATAGATATAGATATAGATATAGATATAGATATAGATATAGATATAGATATAGATATAGATATAGATATAGATATAGATATAGATATAGATATAGATATAGATATAGATATAGATATGACAGATAAGAAGCACAGTCGAAAGAAGTTTGTAGAGCACTGCTTTAATTCTCTACTCACACAGCCACCAGCCTTGTTCGGGCCCTCATCCCCCCTCCTCTGGACTCTTATAATAGCCTCCAAATTGGCCTCAATGCCTCAAGTCTCTCTCCTCTCCAACCCACTCTCCATGCAGCTGCCAAATAGATGTTACTAAGACACAAGTCTGTCCACATTACTCTTCTTGCTCAAAAAGCTCCAGGGTTGACCTCCTGCCTCTAGGATAAAATACAAACTTTTTGTCTTGCCATTTGGAAAACTTCCTCAGGTGGCTTCAGCATACCTCTGCAAGCTGGCTAGCTCTCCACATCCCTTCCCCTCACATACTCTGGACTCCAGCCAAACTGACTTACCGGCTATGCCCCCTCTACACAAGGATAACAACAACAACAATTAGTATTTATATATTGCTTTGAAGTTTGCAAAGCAATTAATAAATACTATCTCATTTTGTCTTCATAGCAACCCTGAGAGGTAAGTCTATTATTATCCTCATTTTACAGTTGAGGAAACTGAGACAAACAGAGGTGAAGTGACTTGCCCAGGGTTACACAGCTACTAAGTGTCTGAGGCTGGATTTGAACTCAAGTCTTTCTGACTCCAGGCCCACTACTCTATACCCAGTGATTCCCATCCCCAGTTGCTAGAAATTACTTTGTGTGTACACATAAATATTTATATGTGAATGTGTTATTTCCCCCACTAGAATGGAAGGTCCTGAGAGCAGAGGATGTTTCCTGTTTGTTTCTATATCCTCAAGGCCTAGCACAGTGTCCAGTACATGGTAAGCACATAATAAATGGTTAAATGAATGAAACTCAACAAGGAGGGTGCAGGAGGGTATAACAGGCACTGGCAGGAGAACAAACAAGAGAGTGGGAGCAGGAACCCACAGCCCATTTGGTCAGATTGTGGGGAACCTGGAGAGGAGTCAGAGGGGATGGGGCTGATGAAGGAAGGCAGCACCATAGTATGGAAGGCCTTGAATGCCAACTAGCTTGCAGTCCTTATGTCCTTGGACCCATAGCACCATTGCCTTGGGCTTGGGGTTCCCTTTGGTTGTGTGAGAGTGCTGTTTCTCTAACCAGCCTGCAGGCTCTCTGAGAACAGCCCTCTCTTCCCCAAAGCACCTTGCAAAGGGGCTGAGCAGAGGGTAGAGATTAGGGCTCAGGAAATACGGCTTGATTGAATGAAGGGGAAGGTGCATCTCTCCCTTGGATTTCCCTTGGGCAGGCCATCTAGTACTGTCCAATGAAAAGCCAGGATTACCCCTCTACTCTCCAGCCCACCTTGGCTTGAAGCCACTGGCAAGATGAGTTAGCGTGGTATCTCCTGTGGCCTTAGTTGACAGGCTCAGGGAACCTGGTAGTTCATTTGGGGGGCTAGTCACCCTTTCCACAGAATGCTGTTCTGTAGTCTTACTGAAGACCCTTACACACATACACACACACACACACACACACACACACACACACACACACACACCCCTATTTAGTGTTATTCCCAAGCAGGATGGAATTTAGGATAATTCTCTCTTTCCTTATCTCCTCTGCTTCCACAGAACAGAAGATCTAGGTTCAAAACACGCCTTTATCACTTACCAGCTGCATGAGCTCAGGCAAGTCCCCTTACCAGTCTGAACCTTAGTTTCCCAGTTTGCAAAATGAGAGAGCTGAACAGGTTAAAAGCCAGCTTACAAGCATTTGTCATGGGTTTACTAAGTGCCCAATACTAAGCTGAACATGGGGGATACAAAGAAAGGCAAACACCCAGCTTCCTGCCGTCAGGGAGCTCACATCCTAATGGAACGGATGACCTCTATCTATGAACAATGCTTTTGACGATTTCGAATCACACAATATAAAGGCCTATCAAGACTGGCCTCCTGATCAGGCTACCAGGAGATGGTCCAGTCTGTGAGATCCTCCCTCAGTGCGGCTCCCGCAAACCCGGGTCCACACCAGGAGGGGGCAGTGCAGAGCTCGGAGGGTACAAGGGTCTGGACTCCTTAAACACTAAAACTGTCACAACGTGGGGGACATAGGAGACTTCCCACCTCACAGCAGCCGAGACAGACACCGAGAAAGATGTCGGCTGCACCTGGTGCTCAACCAACCAAGATATGAAGAAGGAGCAGCTGAAGGGAAAGACATCTGGAGTCCTGGGTTCGAATTCTGCCTCGTAAACTTAATAGCTGAGCGTTCTTGGGTAAGTAGCTTCCTTTCTCTGAGCCTCATCTCTCTCTCTCTCTCTCTCTCTCTCTCTCTCTCTCTCTCTCTCTCTCTCTCTCTCTCTCTCTCTCTCTCTCTCTCTCTCTCTCTCCATTGTTGTTGATTATTTTCATTTCCAAATCTGTCTCTTCCCCTCCCAATAGCTACTTTCCCCATCTTTGAAGCCGATATTCCATTCTTCATGTTTCCCTCACCGGGCTTTTGCCAAGAAGAGATGGCTTTGCAGAACCTTTAAGCTCAGAGTTCTTCTCAAGAATAATAATTTTGCAGGGGTGGGGTGGGAATAGGGTACAGCCAGGCCGCAGAGCTTCCCACCCGACTGCTATCCACCCCCCCTGAAATCTCGGACAGGCTCGTTCCTCCTGGACGCAGGACCATGCCCCTGGGCCCTTGGCGAGTTCGTCCTCTCCGCAACTGAACCTCCTTCCAAGAAGGGGGAAAGGGTTGAGGGCGGCGGGGTTCTAGCCATTAAAATGTCTCCCCCCACCATAGGGGAAGGTGGACAAAGTTGATCCAACTCCCCAGGGTGCAAGTCCAAAAGCCCACAGTTAAGAGGAAGCTAGACTTTGGGAGGCCGCGAAAGAGTGTTGCCACGGCTCTCCAAGGGGCCAAGCGCGGCCCCCTGGCTCCTTTTGGTGCTGTTAGCGCGAACTGCAGCCGCGGTCGCCAGTGCCCCCCTCCTGGCACACACACGCGGGAGCGCGCGCGTGCACGAACACACACACGCATACACACATCCACCCCACAGCAACACCCTTGGCTCCCAGCCCAATATACAGCAGTCTAAGACCAAGACCTCCCCGCCCCCCATTCCTCCATCTCCAGGTCCGCGGACCCCAGCAGCCGGCTCCCAAAGAGCCCAACGAAGCCAAGCTTCCCCCACTACCGCCGCCGCCGCCACAGCAGCAGCAGCAGCAGCAACCCCCCGCTCCTCCTCCCTCCCTCATGGCCCCGGCCTCGCCACCCACTCCCACCCCCCATCCCCCCGGGAACCAGCTCCGAGCTCCCGCAGACTCACCCGCTGGGCTCCGGCGTCCCCGCGCCGCCACTCCGGGACCACATCCCCGGCCCCGCTCGAGCGAGTCCTAAGGGCGAGGGCTGGGGGCGAGGGCTGGAGGCGAGCAGGTGCAGCTGCCGGCTGCAAGCGAGAGGCAGAGGCAGAGGCAGTCGAGCCGGCGGGAGAGAGGGAGGGACGGAGGGAGGGTGTGTGTGCGCGCCTGTGTGTGGCGCGCGCCTCTGTGTGTGTGTGTGTGTGTGTGTGTGTGTGTGTGTGTGTGTGTGTGTGCGCGCGTGCGCGTGTGTGTGTGTGTGTGTGTGTGTGTGCGTGTGTGTGTGCGCACGAATGTGTCTCCTCTCCGTACGTATTCCTTGTTGGTCTTCACGTTGCGATGCTAATAGAATAGCAAAGGCGCGCACACAGGCGCACACACGCTCACTCTCCCCAAACAAAAGGTGCCCTGCCTGGACGGGGACAGACCCGCTGCGGTGTGGGGCCAGGGGCTTCCAACTTCCTCCCGCGGGCTGAGAAGAGCTGAGCCGAGCCTGAGGACACAAAGCCAGCTATCCGATCCAAGCCGGCCAGTGGGGGCGCAGGCGGGGGCGCACGGAGCGGAGCGGAGCCGCCCTGGCAGCACGGCCCGGCGCGCAGCCCCAGGACTCGGCCCCTCACGCCTTGCCTTCACTGCTGCCTGTCTGCCTGCCTTCTTGCCTGCTTTTCCCCAGCTTGGGAGCCCTGGCGCGGGGGCCACTTCTCTTACATCTCCAGGTCTGCTCAGAGCCGTTCTCGGACCAGCCTGAGCTAGGGGAGGTGGGCTCCCTTTGGCTCCCCTTGCTCCACCATACCCGGCCGCAGGGACGCGCTGGCGTCCTCCGCCCTGCCCACTGCTGGCACTCTGGGGCCGGGAACTCCGAGACAGAGAGGAAAAAAAGCTGGGAGGGGGCGCCTCAAGTCAGATTCTCAGGAAAAGTGAACCTGGGTATCCTCGGACTTCTTCCTCCCTCAATTGGAGTCTAACCTCGCTCTCTTCTTTCTGCAGCTCTCTGTCTCTCTCCCTCCCCCTCTCCTTCCTTCCCTCCTCCCTTTCTTCCCTACCCACCTCTCTGTCTTTCCTCCCTCCTTCCCTTCTCTTCTCTCTCTCTCTCTCTCTCTCTCTCTCTCTCTCTCTCTCTCTCTCTCTCTCTCTCTCTCTCTCTCTCTCGTCCTCCCTCTCTCCCTCCCTCTTTCCCTTCCCCCCTGCCAACCCACAAGCGTCTCACATTCTCTGCATTACATCAGATGCTGTCGGCTTCACGGTCGGTACCGGAGCTCCCAGTGGGAAATAAGGTAATAAGCTTCTCTCCTAAGCCCCTGCTACTGCTCCCTGCTCTCGCTCCCTCTGCTGCTCTCTCCTTTCCCTCCCTTCTCAAAGCCCCAGTGAAACATCCAGACTATAGCCTCGAGTTCTTTTCATAGTTTCCATCTTGCCTGGGTTTAAAGGTATAGTCTGCCCTTTGCTAGGACTTCCTTGCCCTTTGTCTGCCCCACCTTGGGGCCCTGGTGTCAGGGAAGTCCGGCACTCACCACCACTTGCTACCTCTCAATGGGGCAATGCCAGGCCAGGAATGCCTGGCCGGCCCCGCTGGGACAGACAAGGGCTTGTCTGAGCTCAGTTTGGCCACTGTCCCTCTCTGCCAGGAAACACTGGTGAGGGACGGAGGTGAGTCAAGGAGAATGGATGATTTCCATATCTGGTCTGGTCCAGATGGCGCTGCTGGGTAAGAGCAAGGGGGGTTAGTGGTGAGGTTTATGGCAGGCAGGGCTCTCCTGGCTTTGGGGCAAGAGTACTCTAAGCTTGTGTGAGGCACTCAGAGAGGTTCAGCAGGTTCACGTAGCTATCTTGAAGTCTCTAGGACCAGCTGCCCTTTGGTGACCTCATCCTGAAACAGGCCAGGCATGGCTGACAGAGTGGAGAAAGAAGTGGGCCAGGGAGCTCAAGGTAAAGATAAAGAAGTGGAAGCCTAACAAGAAGAGACATCCCACCCCAGTTCTGGTTTGTCTGGGAGCAAAGTCCATTAATCTGGATAAAGATACTTCCAAGGATGCATTAAAGTATTGGGGTAAAAGGGTAAGGAGAAAGGGGGTGTTAGCACAAAAGAGTAGGGATACCCCCACCCTGCTGTGAGAGCTCTTCTTGACCCAGTGGCTGATTCTGAACTCTTGAGCAAGGGGCTGGAGCCCCTCTATGGGCTTTGCTTCCCCCTATCTGTAAAATGGAAAGAAGTCACTGCTGCCCCTCCATTTCCACCCCAAGCTTCAGCCAGATAATGCAAAGGTGGCATAAGGTCATGCACACGGATAACATAAGAGATGAATGAAGCAGCAAATGTCAGAAATTCTTCAGGCTACTGAGGGAAGAAATGTGACTGTGAAACAATCAGTGTTCAAAACACTTCTGCCCTATATTTACCCTCACATAATCTGAAAGGATGTTGAATCCCCATCTCTACCTCCCTCCCTTCTCCTGCCACCATGAGGGATGGAGAGGGTAACAAGGCCTCCCCTCCCTCTTAGGTAAAGAGAGGTTCCAGGACTCCAGGGAAGAGCCAGTCTTCCAGCCAAGCTGCAAGATCAGCAAAGTCTGCCTGAGGCTCCCTCCTTCTCCACCGCCACCCCTACTTCCCCCCAAGCAAGTTCTCTTCCACCAAGACGTGCCCTCCTTGGTGCTCAAGTGACTTTGGGGAACATATTCCACAAAACCAGCAAATACCAAACCCCTATAGTGTACAGGATGTTGCATTAAGCACCAAGGATTCAAAGCCAGATGCAGCCACATGCATATCTCAAGGAGCTTACAATCTAGAATGGGAAAGCATAGCTTTCATTCACCTGAACAAGCATTCAATCCCTAGCATGTGCACAGGAAGGTACTTGTTGTTTTGTCCATTAGTGGTAGTTTGACTCTTTGTGACCCCATTTGGGGTTTTCTTGGCAGGGATACTGGAGGGGTTGGCCATCTCCTTCTACAGCTCATTTTACAGGGGAGGAAACTGAGGCAAACAGGGTGAAGTGACTTGCCCAGGAACACACAGCTAGTTAGTGCCTGAGGTCAGATTTGAACTCAGGTCCTCCTGACTCCAGTGCTCTATCCACAGTGCCACCTAAAACTGGATTGAGATCTAGAGCTGGAAAGGACCCTAGAACCCATCTAATCCAATCTCCTCATTGGACAAAAGAGGAAACCGAAGCCTAAGGAGGCTAAATGACTTGTCCGAGGTCATGAAGGCAATAAGTGGAATTTGGACACAGGTCTTTTAATGCTGAATTGGAGTTCTTTCCATGCACTGCCTCTAGGGATAATATATTCGATTTGGTTCCACAAAGTTTTAAAATAACTACTATGTTCAAGGCATGCAACATGGAGCTTAATCTCTAAGAGTTCCTGATTGGATAAACTGATTCACATTGAGCTGTTAATTAGGTTGAGAGCAAGGAGGTTCAGCTCTTCAGTAAGAACACTACAATTGGAGGGGGAAAGGCCTTCGTTCAAATCCCAATTCTGCCATTCACTAGCTGTGGGACTTGGGCAAGTCACTTAATTTCTCTGGACCTCAGTTCCCCCTTCCGGAAAAGGAGGGGGTCAGAATGATATATCCCTAACTCTGACCTCTAACTCTAAACCCATGATCAGCCCAAAGACTCTATGATCTGTCGATCAACAAACATTTATTTAGTACCTACTATGTGCCAGGAACTGGTAATATAAAGACAAAGAATGATGAAATCCTTGGGAGAGCAGTTTTCCTGTCCCTTAGATCCGCATGGAGCCAGTGGCCACCTTGGGCCCAAGAGCTTCTGCAGATTCCTCCAGGCTGCCCTTTACTCTGTCCAACTTCCCTGAAATACCACGATCATTTGTTATTATGAAGCTCCACACTCGTCAGGAATGACCAGAGAAATAGTCATCGTTATTTGATCCCAAATTTAGAGCCATTATTCTTATTACCTCTGATGCCACTGGTATATTAGATATATATATCCCTACCATTCTCCTGAAAATATGCAAGACAGGCCATTTCTTTATAGGGCCCCCTTTCTGCCACAGGAATTTGTGCAAAGGACAAAGTCTTAACCCACTAGGATGAATTAGCAATGGTAGAATGGGGATAAATGTCGTAGAATAGGGTTTTTTTTAAGTGGAGGGGAGAGACTGCTGAATTTAGAGTCAGAGGTAATTGTTGTTCGTCGATGTTCAGTCATGTCCAATTCTTTGTGACCCCATTTGGGATTTTCTTGGCAAAGATACTGGAGCGGTTTGCCATTTCCTTCTCCAGCTCATTTTACAGATAAGAAAACTGAGGCAAACAGGATGAAGTGACTTGCCCAAGGTCACATACCTATTAAGTGTCTAAGGCAGCATTTGAACTCATAAACATGAGTCTTCCTGATCCCAAACCCAGTGCTCTTTCCACTTACTACCAATGTGACTTTTGGACAAGTCTCTTCCCTGTTGGGCTGTTTTGACATCTGTAACATCAAGGATTGGAATACTGGCCTTTAAGGTCCCTTCTAGCTCTAGCCCTATGAACTTATGAATTTTTTAAGAAGTTGCCATGGTATAGTGGAAGGAGCCCTGGCTGTAGAGATGAGACCTGAGTTCAAATCCTGACTATGCCATTTATTCTGTCAATTTAGGCTTCTCTCTGAGCCTCAGTTTCCATATCAATAAAGTGAACAGGTTAACTCAAGTAACCTCTAAGATCCCTTACAGTTTTAAAATCTTATGAGATACCATGGACCAATTACTAAGCTTGAAGTTGAGCAGACTTGGATTCAAATTCCACCTCTGATATTTATCAGCTGTGTGACCTTGGGTAAGTCATTCAATTTAGTTCCAAGCTTCTTATCTATACATCAGAGATAATTTTACTTATAGCAAAAGGCAGTTTGTCACAGTGATTAGATATCTGACCTTGAAATCGAGAAGATCTGATTCTGAGTCCTGCCTTGGACACATTCTGCTGTGTGACTTTGGTAAATCACTGCATCTCTCATTGTCCCCCACGTAAGTCTCTAAGACTGAGTTTTCAAGCAGGTGCTGCTCTGTATTGGTAGAAGGGGTTTCCCATGGAGAGTTCACTATAGCAATGAAATCACAGGCCCAGCTTCCCCACACCAAAAAAAATGACCTTTATCACCTACCTCCCCCATAGGATTGTTGCAAAGTCAAAATGAGATTA